TGAGATGGGTCCTGGGGAAAGAAGGAGCCAAAATCATCCCCCTCTGCCCACACACAAAACTAACTTTGTTCTCATCTTTTCCTGCTCCACATTGATCTACTCTTTTCTCTTTTACAGCTTCTGATAGGCGAGCTGGTGAGTTAGCTCTTTGCTTTTCTGTATTAATGTGTTACTTCCTCATAATGTGATGCTGTATTTACTATGTAGGGATATATCTGTTTCACCAAGAATCAGGCTTGGGTTCAGCATGGACACTTCCCCCATTACACTGGGGCCTGGGATTTAATTCTTGGTTAGATTCCTGCTGGTCCATCAAAGACCCAGAGGATAGGCTGCTGCAAAGACACAGATCTTTAACTGAGTCTACAGTAGGAGTTTCTAGTCCCTCCAAGATTATTTATTCACATATCCTTCTGCTCTCTGCCCCTCAGCTGCTCTCCCAAAGGCTGTGGTGAAACTCGAGCCCCCATGGACCCATGTGCTCCAGGAGGACTACGTGACTCTGAGGTGCCAGGGGGCCCACACCCCTGGGAACAACTCCGCCCAGTGGTTCCACAATGGGAGCTCCATCCCCACCCAGGTCCAGGCCAGCTACAGATTTAAGGCCAAGAGAGATGACAGCGGGAAGTACAGGTGCCAGACAGGCCAGACCAGCCTCAGCGACCCTGTGTATCTGGGCGTACTTTCCGGTCAGTGGAGGAAGGGCCCGGGGAGGGTCTGGGAGGACCAGGACAGATGCAATCTGCTTTCGCTACAGAGGTTTGCAGGAAATGGGGGTGGCCTGTTTACCTGGAAGTGTTGCTGTGGGTTGCCCAATCATGTCTGTTTTCATCTACCTCCTTGGCTTAATATGTGTGGTGGGGGTGGAAATTCCTAAGAAATTCCTCAGCATATATCAAAGGTTGATTTTGCCTCAGTCCTGATTGAAGAAGAAGGTTACAAGGCCACAAACAGGCAGCTGAGTACGAAAGAAGCAGAAGGTACTACTTCATAAAACCACCTTACTCTGATGGCAGTGTGGTAAACCACGGAGGCTGGAGACAAATAGACCCACAAAGGCCATAAGGTGGGAGCTGTCTGACAAGTGTGAGGAGGTCATTCTGCCTGGAGTTCAGGAGGCCAGAGGGTGGAATCCAGTCTGGAAGATGAGGCCAGAGGTGAGGGGGAGGGGAAAGGCTAGATCCTGTGGAGGCTAGTAGCCTGTTGCAATGACTTTGACTTTTATTTCTAAATGAGGTGAGAATTCACCAGATGGTTTTAATTAAAGGAGTAATGTGATTTGATTTAGGTTTATAGAAATATCTGACAGTGTGCAGTTTAATAGATTCTGTAGAGAAAATGCCCCTGGATACTATTTCTACCCCCCTCCAAATGTCTGAAAATATGAGCACACTTATCTTGCAGTTTATTT